CCTGCCCGCCTTCCCGACGCCCTCGGGACGCGCTCGGGCCGGTGAGACCACCGCTGGCTGCCCGCCCGGCCATGGCTGCCACCGATGACGCGCGGCGCCGGGTGAGTCCGCGCCCTCTGCCGGGCCCCCGGTTCCCCGAAACTTCCTGGCCCGAATCCCACGGTCCCCGGCGCCCCTCCGCAGCCCCGGAGTCTCAGCCTCGGGGTCTCCCACTCCGACCCCTATGGCGAGCGCTGGTCCGCGTAGACGAGGCGCCTGGCCCGCGAGGGGTTCGGTCCTCGCCGGACTGGGAGCGGCCGGTGGGGCGCTGGCGGGATGGGCGGCGGCCCGCCCTGCTCTAAGGGTCGCCTCGCGCAGCCCTGTGGACCTCGCAGCTCCCGGGCCCGAGCCCCTCCGTGTGCGCTGGAAGGGGCGCCCCGCGGGCTGCTCGGTGCCCCGGGGCGCGCTGTGCGTGTCCTGGCGCGGGCCCCCCTTTGTCTCCCCGCGCTAGCGTGTGTGCGCGGGCGTCCTGGGTGCGTGGTGGGGTGATCACCCTGCGCGGTTTTTACCTGGAAGGACGTTCCGTTTCCATTTCTAACAGCACAGATGTCCCGCTTGTACGGTGCGTGAAGCTGTCCGAGGCCAGGCGGTTTCAGGACTCCTGGTCCTGGCACTGCTGCGAGAGACACTTCCGATGGCGGCCGGAGGGGCAGCGATTGTTGGTCGGAGCCCTGACGGTCCTCTCTACGGTCAGAAGTTAGAGAAGGCTCTTTCAGTGTGGACTGCGGCGACCGTTGCTGTGTCTCTGCGCACGTGCGTGGGGCGGGGGCGTGTGAAGGGGCCCTAGTGAGAACGCGATTGTATTTTTTCACTCAGCAAAGTTTTCTAGAGATTCATCTAGGTTATTGCCAGTACTGTAGTAGTAGTTTTGCTAAGTGGTATTCCATGGTATGGATGTAACAGACTTTGTTTGAAGGAAACCAAAGTTGTTTCCAGTTTGGGGCTGTTATAAATATGGCTACTGTAAACATTCTTGTAATTCCTAATGTAGCATAATGTAAACATTAAGTCTTAAATTTTCTTGAGTAAATGTTCAGGAGTACAGCTGCTGGGTCATATGGTAATTGAACACTTAAAATTACAAACCGAGGCCTTCACACTGAGCTATATCTCCAGGTTTTTTTTTGTTTTTGTTTTTGTTTTTCTAATTGTCTGAGACAGGAGCTCCCTAAGTCCTAATTTACCCAGGTGGAGCTCGAATTTGTGAGCCTGCTTTCTCAGCCTCCCAGAGTGCTGAGAGTACCTCTATGAGTCACCATGCCTGTCCGAGTTTAGTTTTACATATATCATACGGCCAGACGAGTTCCCAGAGTGGCTGAACTGTTGTCCCATTCTCCATTCCTGCCAGTTCCTCTACATCCTTGTCAGCAGTTCCTGCTGTCCCTGTTTGTAGCCCTTCTGATCAGTGTGCACTGATAACTCATTGTAGCTTTAAGTATGTTTCTACACTGCCCAGTGATGTTAGAACCCTTTTCATGTGCGTATTTGCCATTTCCTCTGTTGCTATGCCTTCATTTCTTTTTTATCCTTTTTCTGGTTGGATTATTTAGATTTTTGCTGTTGAGTGTAGAGTGTTTATGTATCCTAGATACTAGTCCCTTTTCAGTTGTGGTTTGCAGAGTTTTTCCTCTCAATTTGTAATTTGTCTTTTCATCTGCTTAATAGGATCTTTTGCACAGCAAAGTTCTAAATTTTGATGAGGTTCATTTTTCCTTTTATGGATATTTCTTTCGATGTCAAGTTTAAGAGCTTGCTGCCTAACCCTAGATTCCAAAAATTTTTCTATTGCTTTTTTCTCCAAAAGTGTTACAGATTACATTTTCTATTTAATTTCATGACCCATGTAGAATTAATTTTTCTGTACAAGATGTCAGCTTTCAGTTGGCTGTTTCTTTGGTTTATGGATGTGTAGTTGCTCAAGCAATGTTGATTGAAAAGCTCTCTTTCCTATATTGAATTGTTGCATTTTATTTACTTTTTTTTTTTTTAATTTTGAGATAGAGTCACACCAAGTAGCCCAGGCTGAGCTTGAGCTTGTAGTTCTCCTACTTCAGCCTCCGAGTGCTGGAATTGCAAACAGCCACTATCATGCCAGCTTGTTGTTGCACTTCTATCAAAAGTCAGTTAAACACATTTATGTGGGTCTGTTTCTGGGTTCCATATTACCATACACTGTGATTCATATAGCTGTATAAGTCTTTTCCTGGTATAGACTAGTTCCTCCTACTTTATTCCTCTATTTTCAAAAAAAAATTAGCTATTCTAGTTCTTTGCCTTTATAAATTTTGGAATCATCTTGAAGAATTGAACTATTCTTTCCATTTGTCAAATTTACATGAATAGAGTATATCTACAGAAAGATTTGCTGGGATTTTGATAGGAACTCCAGTAGGATCTGTTCATCAGTTTAGTGACAATATCTTTACTACTTTAGGTTCTCTACTTCATGAGCATGGTATTTACCTTTATTTCTTTTTATATCCTTTGATTTCTTTTTATTAGCATTTTCAGCATACCATCATGTGTATATTTTATTAGGGTTATACCTTTACACCTAAGTATACAATTTTTGAGGGATTATAGATGATGATTGTTTTTAAATCTTATTAATATATTTGTTAGTACTGTACAGAAATATAGTTGATTTTTATACATTTAACGTGTGTTCTGTGACCTTGGTAAATTCATTTATTTTAAGAGTTAGAATTCTTTGAAATTTTCTACATAGATAATCATATCATTTTCAAATAGGGACAATTTAACTCTTTTACACTCTGCTTGCCTTTTCTTATGCAACCTTACTTTGCTTGCTAGATTCTAGCACTATATTCTTCCTTCTTGTTTAATTTTTGTTTTGTTTTTTTATGCCACTTTAGCACTCTGTTCAGTAATTGTGATTGTAAATAGACGTCCTTCCTTTCCCTGTTTCTGTTATTATAGCACCGCTTTTTTCTTTTTTCTTTTTTTTTTTTTTTTTTTTGGAGAGGGGTACCAGGAAATGAACTCAGGACCTTGTGCTTGCCAGGCAGGTGCTGTGCTGCTGAGCCATATCCCCACCTGTTTCTGTTATAAAACTCTAATTTTTACCATAAGTTGTAGAGGTGTTTTTTTTTAAATCTACTTTCTGAGGGCTAATGGCCTGTAGTTTCCACATATAGTACTGTCTTTGATTTCATATCAGAGAAATACTAGCTTTATAATTATTTAAATGGTGAGATTCTTAAATGACATTGTTTAGGACTGGAGGTTTCTTTTAGGGGTATTTTCAAATTACAGATTCAGTCCTGTAATAGTTATTAGGCTACTCACTTTATGTTAGGTTGTGTGATTTGTGGCAGTTTAAGGAATGGAACTATCCCTTATAGTTGTGAACTTTACACGGACAGACGATAGTGCTATTCCATTTCAGTCCTAACACTGGTAATTTGTGTTGTGTACCTTTCCTTTGTCACTCTTAATAGTTTGTCAATTTCATTTTCTTTTCAGTGAACCAGCTCTTTGTTTCATTGGTTTTTTAAAAAAAATTTTCTGTTTTCAATATAAATGATTTCTGATCTTTATTCCTTTCTTTGAAAATGTATTCTTTTCTTTGGTTGCTTTGAGTTTATTTTGCTTTTTTTCTAGGTTCTTGGAGGGGGAGCTTATATTATTGATTTGGTACTTTTCCTTTTTTCTTATGTATTCATTTAGTGATAGGGATTTGTCTCTCAGCATAAATCTGACTAAAAGTCCCCAACAGTACCTATACCACAGCCTGAATGTTGGGCTGACTTAAATCTCCTTCAGAAGATTAAGCAGTACACTCAGTTAATCTCAGTTTCCCACAGAGCCTCAGGACATAGGCAAATTGAAGACAAATTTACTGCCAGAAAGTAACACACATGACCTGTAGTCCAGCTGCCAGTGGAGCCTTGTTTCCAGCTTCTGGGCTTCTCAGAAGTTTGCATTCTAGTCAGCATTCTGGTCGTCTAAATTTTGACCAGAATCTCCCATCAATCTTGGCTTACTGCATTCTAGGGCTTCTGTAGCCACCATCTCCAGACCTTTCCAAACTCTTCCTGTGAAACAGTTCCAAAAGCTTCTAGACCTTGGTTCGGTATAGTCACAGAAACAACCCTACTTTTCTGGTGCTAAAATCTTAGTCACCTTCCCATGGCTAGGACAAAATACCCAACATCCACAGTGTAAAGGAGAAGAGGTTTGTGTCATGAAACCATACTTCATAGGTTTAGTCCATCGTTGGCTGGATCTAACGTAGGAACAGGATGCAGAGGGAGAGGCATGGAAGAGGAAAAGGTACTCAATCCATAGTGGCCAGCAAGCAGAGAGAGATGGGAATAGCCAGGAACAAGAATATACTCTTCTAAGTCAAGCCCCCAGGACTCCACCTGTGCCCAGGACCCTCTTCCTAACAGCACGTTCAGCTAATGATATCCCAGTGATCCAGTCACTGTCTAAACATGTAATACTTTGGGGATACATTTTAGATCTAAACCATAACAGTTTTTTAACAGACAAGGACATTAAAAGTACACAAAGAGATTTAAGTCTTGCTAGCAAAGATAAGACCTAATCTGTGTTATATAGTCTCTGTTGTTATTTCCATATCCCCTTTACTAGTGATTGCATTCATTTTATGTTTCAGAAGATCTTGACTGTATAATTAACTATTGCTGACTGCAGTAGTGGTCTTAAAATAATGTTAAAATACAATCTACTGACTACCCTTTTCTGCCTCTTGAGCAATACACCCATAATTTTCCATTTCAAACTTTTATTAAACTCCTTTGGAATGGTTATCTGTATTGGCTGGCTTTCTGTTGCTAGGACAAAATTCTTGACATACACAATCTAAAAGAGGAAAGATTTATGTAGCCCCATGATTTCAAAGGTTTCAGTCCTCAGTTGGCTGGCTGTAAGGCAGAAACATTATGGTGGAAGAGCCTGGCCAGGTGAGCTGCTCAACTCATGGCATCCAGGAAGTAGAGTAGTGGGGGAGGAGCTAGAAAGAAAGGGACCAGATTCATAATATAGTTCCCAAGGTCATGCTGCCATGACCCACTTCCTCCAACTAGGCCCCACCTCCAAATAGCTCATTTAGATGTGAACTTATTAGTACTTTGGTGATTTCTCCAGGAGACTGAGTCAGGTTGACCATCAAGATTGACCTGCACAGCATGTAAGTCTTTGTAATTCTTATTTGTATTTGTTATTTCCTCTTTAGCTGCAATGCTGTGGAATTCTTTTTCCTTTTCAGTTATCTTACAGGGAGGATAGTTTTGGTATCTTAGAGACTTCCCCTTGCTTGCTTTACTTTCTGTCTCAAGGTTGTGATCCTTAATTTGTCCCTTTCATGTCCTGCAGTTAATTACTACCTCCATGCTTAGCACATTTCCATCTCTCGATCAGGGGATCCTATAATTATCATAGTATAATGAAAGACCTACCTCCTGACTTGCCTCTTCTGCATCTCCAATCCTTGGGAGTGTAAAATACCACTTGTTTGGCACTTAGTCATGTGCTACCTTGCAATACTTATGAACTTACATTTTATAGTGTTACTTAACTTTTTACAAGGAGTAAATTTTAATAAGCTTTGCATTTTCCCCCTTCAGTTATATAAACTCTCTTTGGGAAGAATAACCTGTATTATCCTTTGCATCCTGCAGAGCCACAGTAGCATGTTTTG